TCATCTTAAAGAGGACATTTTTCTTCAGCCACCTAAAGGGATTTCAATTAAAAGAGGCTACGTCTGGAAAGCACTTCGAAGTTTATATGGGCTAAAACAAGCTGCAAGAGACTGGAACTGTCTGATCAAAGATTCGTTACTGACATGGGGATTCACACAAAGCCTTGCCGATCCGTGCATGTTTACTCACGACAATGGTACAAGTCTATTGGTTTATGTTGATGACATTGTGGCATCGGCTAAGTCTCAAAAACATTTGGATCAGTTCTATAAAAAGTTATCGACAAGATTCAGCGCCAAGAATCTGGGGGAGATAGAAAAGATACTTGGAGCTAGGGTCATGCGAGATAGAAAGAACCGGACCCTATATCTTGACCAAGAACAATACATTCAAAACGTGTTGGAAAAGTTTGGATTCAGAAAAGGTGCTCACAAGCCAAAAACAGTGCCACTCACTGGATATGAACACTTACGGCCCGCCACAAGTGATGACAAAAGAATCGACGTTACAGAATACCAGCAAGCAATTGGATGCCTTATGTATGCCACAACCGTCACGAGGCCGGATATTGCTTTTGCAGTTGGAAAACTCAGTCAATTCATGAGTGATCCCGCAGAACATCATGGATATGCACTCAAAACAGTTTTCCGATACTTGAAGTCGACAATAAAATTTCGGATCCGTTACGGTCTCGGAGGAAAATACAGTAGCTTTAAGGTCTATTCGGATGCCGACTGGGCAAGTGATAAAAATGACCGTAAAAGTACCTCAGGAAGCGTCACCATGTTCTATGGTGGTCCAATATCTTGGTCCAGTAAAAAGCAGCGCTCGGTATCAACATCAAGCTGTGAAGCTGAGTATATTGCTCTATCAATGTGTGCAAAACATGGACAATGGATTGCTCAAATATTTCGAGACCTCGGACTACCAAAGTATATTGGGAAAAACCCTGCACTAGTCCAAATGCTCGGAGACAACCAAGGATCAATTGCGCTAATTGAAAACGCATATCTGAACGAAAGGTCAAAACATATCGATATTTGCTATCACTTTATTCGTGATCTCGCCGGAAAGGGGAGGTTGGCAGTTGATTACATTCCTACTGATGATATGGTAGCAGACGGCATGACCAAACCGTTGGCAAGAGTGAAGTTCCAGAAATTCATTGAACAGCTTGGTATTAACTGTACACAAGTCCCCGTGATAGTATCTACTAAACAACAATTGATAGGAGACTAGAGTCAGGACAACCTTTGAGGGGGAGTGTTAAATGACAAGGTGTGTCTAGCTGCTACAGGGGCAATCCGAGTCAGGCAGAGTCAAACACATGAGTCGCGTCTATTACGCTATTCATGCAGATCAGTCGCGTGGAGGAAAATTTGTACTTAGGAGTCTGGCTGTCTCGATCTTAGTATACTTTTAGTTAACTCGAATATCTGATTCTATCTGACCTCAATCCACTGTGCTAATTCCATCGTCTTCTATACAGTCATACTGCGACAGAAGTCCTCCCAAATTTAATAATTTTTATTTTATTTTTTATTTTTATTTTTTATTTTTTATTTTTTATTTTTTATTTTTTATTTTTTATTTTTTATTTTTTATTTTTTATTTTTTATTTTTTATTTTTTATTTTTTATTTTTTATTTTTTATTTTTTATTTTTTATTTTTTATTTTTTATTTTTTATTTTTTATTTTGTTGGGAGGGTCTGGTGCACTAGTGCTTAAAGAGATAACAGGAAACGTATTGCATTCATTCTTGTGGTTCTACTTCTACTTGGTGTTCTCTGCGGGGAGAACACATATCGTGGTGTGTGGGAGCTAGTCCCATATGGGCTAGCTCCACCCAGTACGGACTCACACCAGAGGGCATTGACACCTATGATCCAACATATTTTTTATTTTTTATTTTTTATTTTTTATTTTTTATTTTTTATTTTTTATTTTTTATTTTTTATTTTTTATTTTTTATTTTTTATTTTTTATTTTTTATTTTTTATTTTTTATTTTTTATTTTTTATTTTTTATTTTTTATTTTTTATTTTTTATTTTTTATTTTTTATTTTTTATTTTTTATTTTTTATTTTTTATTTTTTATTTTTTATTTTTTATTTTTTATTTTTTATTTTTTATTTTTTATTTTTTATTTTTTATTTTTTATTTTTTATTTTTTATTTTTTATTTTTTATTTTTTATTTTTTATTTTTTATTTTTTATTTTTTATTTTTTATTTTTTATTTTTTATTTTTTATTTTTTATTTTTTATTATTTATTTTTTGTGTAGAAGGATCCGTGGAAAAGGTGGCCGAATTGTTGTGCTGGTGATGGCTAGGATTACGATGCACGAGGGTAATGATCACTGAGGGTGAAGGAAGAACTTTCCAGATGGCTCCATGTTGAGTAGAGGAACAATGGAGCACTGTATAGAAAGTGTTTCTAGATTGTACTGTCAGATGTTGGAGACTAGAATATTCCGTGGTACTGTTTTGGGTAAATAAGGCGAGAGTCTGGCTACCTCAGATGTGTATATAATTAGCGCTTTCTACCAACTAACACCTCATTGTTCTGAATATCAAATATATCAGCGGTTCACATTGATTCATCGATAATCACCTGTAAACCTTCTGCCAATTAACCTCCGTAAGCTCTTACCTTTACAACACGAATTCCATGGGTAAAAACTGAGCTGAATGGCTATTTACCAAGGACAATAACTCAATAATCTTTCGAGTATAAGAGGCAAGGAGCACCGTAAAAGGTGTGGCCTGGGTCAGAAAGGAGCCCAATGTGCTAGATAGTCTATGACTCAATAAGAACAATAAAAATCATCACTCACCCTACCCCGCACATGCAAATGCAGATACAAATGCAAAGATATAAGAAGATCGCCTAACAAAGTAAAGAAATGAGAATACATAATACTGAATGTGGTATGAATGAATAAATTGAATTTTTTTCGTGACGGGCACAAACCCTGCACTCAAAGAGCTTGACATGGAGAAGACTAGCTTCTTCGATGACTATATACGGCGATAAATCAGTTTGACATTTGGACTACTCATGTAGTGGGTGCATTCGCTGATACCACTCGAGACCTTGGTGCTAGGGACTTCCACCCTTCCCTCAGCCGTCAATATCCACGAAAGGGAAAACACGAAAAACCTTTAGCTACCCTATTTCACGGATCTGTAATTGGAATTTTAATACTAATATTAATTCTTGACAAGATGAAGGGCTAGTTAATTAAAGCAATTAATTTTGTCGCAACACTATTCTGGGATGTGCATGGTTCAAGAGAGAGATCGCCATATGTTGATATTTAGTCAAGTGGATTGGTGCAGCTTGGCGTGTCGCCCTTAAAGCTGACACGCCTGTATCCAAAAAATGGAAGAACAAGAATCACCACATCAGAGAGAACCCCATTACGTACGCGTATGTGTGTGTGTGTTTTATTGTATTACTTGAGTCTATGACTATCTAGCACATTGGGCTCCTCTCTGACCCAGGCCACACCTTGTACAGTGCTCCTATCCTCTTTTGTTACTTGAAAGATCATTGATATATTCCCCTTGATGAATAGCCATTCAGCTCAGTATTTACCCGTGGAATTCGGCCACCTTTTCCACGGAACCTTCTACCCAAAAAAAATAAAAATTGGTAGCAATGGAAACTGCGTGCGCGGGAAAAAGTCTCAAAAAACCTGCAGCCCCAGCCAGGCGAGGCCTAGACACCGGGACTACATGAGGTGAACATATTCATCTACATTTCCCTTGTAACATTCGAGGCCATCTTAGTCCAATCCACCATCTCCGTATCGAGTGCTGGGTACGCTCCGGAAACTCATCGGATGGCTTTTCCTCCATGATCAAGGGTTGGTGATGAGTAGGGCTCCGACCCTACTATTTGATCTGATCGTGGTTAGTTTCATGATAATGGTGATATGGGGAATGTGTTGAGAGATGAAGACGATACAGACCGCGCAAGCGATTGGGAATCCTTATCGAAGTGAGGACTTTGTTACTCAATCTCGGCTCTGCAGACTCTACAGTGAGAGCTGGAGGTTCGTAGCGGATACCACTGACAGGTCTTGAGAATAGTCCCCCTCCCATGAATAGTTGTAACTGTAGCCTGCAACAAAGCAAAATTAAGCTAGACATTATTGACTAGGACCTAATGGGAACAGATAACCTCGTAAGTAAAGAGATAGATAGTGTTATAGTCACAATCATGGGCCTACAGGGCACCAAGTCAAATGAAAGAAATTAAGTCAAACCCCTCATTGAAATATACGTACTCTGATCACTTGTATAACTTGATAAGAGAAACCGCACAGCAAGTGTATGGTGTAGATGAATCAGTATTAAATTGATATTCCACAGTAGTTATATGAGTTGAGTCATGCAGAAGTTCCTATCCACCAACCTATTGTATTCTAAACGTCTTATTCTCTCGTGTTACAGTGAATGACTTGAGTCATCGAAGTATGACTGCTTCTTTACTTGGATATCGTCTCTACAGCTCATCGCTTACATTACTTGGTGTTTACTGACTGACGCGTGTACTGTCCAAACAGTACACGTCTCGTAACCAAGTGAGTCCTGTAGTCCAATACTAGGGGCTCCACATTCTATTTCCTAGGACATGATCTGTATCTGTGAAAAATCTAACCTTTTTTTGAATAAAGACTGGTTCAGATCCTTAAGACTGCCTATATTCAAAGACTAGAGCTTTTAGCTATTAGTTATCTTCAGAGCTTCTGTAACCTTTTAATGTGATAGGAGCCGAATATTGGCCGTTCTTCATCTCTTTGACACTGAAGAAAGACTTTTCAAAAAATTACTCAATCAGATCAGACTAGGTGAAGAGAACATACTTTCCAGTTTTGCCGCCCAAATTTATTGTCATTTTTAGATAACGTGATATAATTACAGTTCTCCTCCAAATAAGGCTGAGATTTACAGAATGATAGCAGTCAAAACTCATAACTGGCTGTTCGCGTCACCAACCTCGGCCCCGATGTCCTCCACGCCCTCCCCTGTAAGCACTGTTTCTACCGTAAGAATTTCCGTAATTTCTTTGCCAGCCAGAGGGTCCATATTGGGGGTTTTGGTTTGGCTGTTGGTGAAGCTGACCTAATTGAGGTGTGTGAAAGTTAGATGCCAGGTTTCCAGGCGATGGAGTAGGCCAATTTGCTGAAATTTGATTTTGTGGGAGTTGCCGAGGGGGTTGACTGAACCCATATTGTTGGTTTGGGACGCTGAAAGGAGCATTCTGGAATGAGGGAGGGATAAATGGCGGGAAGTTTGCATTAACGCCATGGTTTTGGGGGAATAGGTTCTGAGTAATTTGTGGCTGACAAGGAGCACCATCACTCTGTATCGTCATATTTGAAGTTTCTTCCACTGACAAACTTCTAGACCTGCTCCTACTTTTACTGCTTAATCCCATCTGAGAATTTTCGTTTCGGCGTTCCACGGGAGACATCGATCGAGACGAGCTGTAAGACTGGCGACGACGTCTCCGGGAGTTGTCAGGGCTTTCATCGGAACTACTGTATCTTCTCTTTCTGACTTCAGGACTTGAACTTCTATTTCTCTCGTAGTCGCGACCTTGGTCGTTTCTCGTTGAACCAAATCCATTCTTTCGATTCTTCATTTTCTCACAAAATTTACGAGACCATCCATAATAGCCTTCCCCATCAATAACATCCCCAGTAATTTCGTCAATGATAATAATTTGGCCAAGCTCGTCAACATCGTTTGGTATCTTATCTTCATGATCTAATTCCTTGCCAAAAATAATTTCAACGTCATCTAGCAAATTTTTGACAGCCTGTACCAAAATCTCATCGGCAGGTCCCGCCAAAAATCGAAGAGGCTTTATTAAGTCAGGATTAATGGGTCGAGTTGAGTTAGGGACGATATGTGGCATTAGATTTCCGGCTGGTAGATCATACCATGGAGTCATCGGATCACCGTGGCTTGCAGGCATAACGTAGGGTGTCGATTTTGATCGCAAGTTTCCATCTATTTTACTAGCTGGATCTGTCGAAGCTTCAATGTGCTGTCCCGCCTCTTGAGCATTAGCAACAGTCTCGCGGAGCCTATCGATAAAGTCTGGTGAGTAGTAGTCTTTATCCGTCCACAAATCTAGCAAGTCAAGGATTTTGCGGTTGTGTTTGGGGTATCCTCTGAAAGATGCGCAACTACCAAATAAACTCATGAGCATTGGTTGTATCTTACTGCAAATTGACGCATCATTGCCACGATATTTGCCATGATAGAGGAGGTCGTTCACAAGGTAGGTAAGATGGAGGCGCTGCCTTCTTACAGACGGCTCGCGTTCTAGTCCAGGTTCTTTCTTTCCTTCTGAGGTACCGAGAGACGCTGTAAAAGTGGTAAGATATTTCCCCAAGGCGGATGACCTTGCTGCAGATTGAAATATATTTTCCAGTATCCATTGCTTGCATTTCTATCCTCGTGGATTTTTTAGCCATCAAATTGTCTAACCGAAAAGAACGTTTGATCAAACCTGGACATTTTCAGACGAGCATTTTATAGTGACAGCTTTCAAGAGTGAGTGAAAACGACCTATTTCTTCGCGGGTAACCACCACCGGGTCTGGTCGAAGGAGTCCGACAGAAAACGAAGCTTTCGCGATGGCAAGTTGATGAGACGTCATGGTCTAATTGGGATGAAAACTGCGAGGAATGCACAAAATGGTGCTTCATGAGATGGATATCGCGCTCCACAGGGGCTAGGTTCAGACTAATACGCGCTAATGTTTAAACGATTTCTGTGAGATTTCGATCCCCTGACACTTTTCATCAGCTTGTGCCTTATCCCGTGACCACATTATATGGCAAATGCTCGAAATATTTTATTTCTGTTAGTCTACATGGCTAAAGCATTCAAATGCTACCTATCCTTGTTCAGTATTCCTGAGCCTTCCTTCAAGAATTGAATTAACGCCATCCATCTATTGTAAATTCCAAATTATCACTTAACTAATCTCTTCATTCTTCAGAGCATTATTACCTCGACTTCTCCCGCAAGTCGACACCGGCCGAACTAGTCTATGATTTTGATTCACTTTATGAATCTACCATTATTTTCTGGAATGTTCATCATAGTTCCAAATAACTTATCTTTTGGCAATCGCAGGAACCCTCCTCTTCCGTTAGATCATACAGGACACTGTCAAACGGAATATTTGACGATTTGTATTTTGGACAAACGATTCTAGGGAGGTTTCCCCAGTACAACTGGAAGTTGGGAGGGCAAAATTCAGACACCTGTTAGAGGTGTCCTACGAATCTGGCAGTGAAAATTTTTACTCGAGACAAGTTTATGAAATCTCGCAATACTAAACAAGTAGCCTAACAAATAATGATTCAAGACTCCCAACCACATCAACTTCTAACTTCCGGAGAGATTCATTCCGATCAGAACAGTATCAAGCTTACTAGTATGACCTAACACATCATCACTTTGATGGCTATACATCTCAAAGACTGATCACTGGCCTCATCGGGCCACCAAATATACACCCATGCCGATATTCTTATCCGTAGGTGGAAAGAAAGCTTGGTGCAAAAATCTAGGAGGTGGTTCTCTGGAAGGGGTGTGAGAGAATATGGGAAAAGTTTACAAGATGATGCAAAGTAATTGTAAAATCTCGACGGGCGCGAAATTCCGAATTTTGGCAAGGAGCTTTACGGATTGAGCTTTGCGCGCGCCAAGACTTCGCTTGCGAGAGTACAGCTGACACTATAAACACAAGCCAACGATGGAAGGTGTAGTGGTCCGCCTCCTGGTGATGTTCTCTGGTATAGTTTGAGTAGCCTGGGTACCTACTCCACTTGGGAAGGAGACATCTAAGATTACATTTCGCGCGGAGGAAGGATAATGGATGACGGAGGCGTGTCTGGATAACTCAGGGGTTTTGAGACGTTCTCCTGTGTGGGTATTCACGGATGAGGGTTGACTTGGGGTGAAGAAAAAGCCACCATAACTTCGCAGTGGTACTTTCAAATGAAACCCGAGGCATGAGAGCTCTTCCTTTACGTTGAATCATCTATTCTGTACTTTTCTTTGATATTGTTTGTTTGTTTAAATTTTGAAGTCCTAGGCTACACCCGCTATCTCCTAAGGGTCAGAGACCGGTGTTTACAGCTAAGATCAAATCAATGACACGCTCAGCTAGATCCCACCACGTGAACCACTACACAAATAGTAGCTAGTTAAATTACATGCAGCCATATAAAAAATAGAAACCATAATATAACTCCAAGCTCCAAAACTTTGAGCTCCAACTAAATATCAGCACTTGTGGTTGGGAAGCAAAGCTTCTCGCCTCGTTCCCCTTCCGATCTAGTCATGTTACATGACTAATTTATATGGACCTCGCTGAGAGCAGAGGTCAAGCTTGCAGCTGATCACCCATAACATCGGGTTTTCTGTGCAAAGTTTCTGAAGTCTTCGAGGCACTTGGGTCCGAAAAGTTGGTGTAGGAAGTCCTAGTGGCAATTTAGACCTCGTATTCGACGTCTTTCGTGAGAATATAGTCGACAGTGAGTAAAATGGGTTGGACTAGTCTCTTTCCCACACGCGCACTCACTAGGTGCGTCTGCATTGTTGAATCGGCGATGATAGGCCGCGAAATTGCCATGTCCCGTACGGGCTGCAATTAGTTCGCGGAGTAGTTGTCTTGATAGAGCTAGCTCTGGCGGCTTGCGCCGTTTCATTATCAGATCTAGCTTTCGGTACCGAACAGGACACGCTTTATCCCACCAATCGCTGATCAAAGCCTGTAGCCGGTTGTTCATGTGAAGGTGAAGGTATGCAAACGAGATAAATTCTGGTTGACTTTACGGACTAGACAACACTCGTAAACCGGAGCGCACAATTGCGTCTGCTTCTTCGTTCCCCTGTATTCCTGAGTGAACGGAGATCCACTTGACTATGTCATGATAGCTGATGCTGAAAGCATGCTGACTGTCCAGCAACACATTCACTCGCCGTATTGCCCCCACTGCTGATGTTGCGCTCCTTTTATTCTCAGCACCGCCTCAAGAGCCTTTAGCGCCCCTGTACTTCCCGCGTCCAGGACCTCTCCTCCGAATCGGATACCATTCTCCTTGTGAAGAGTTTTACCAAATCTTTTCAAAACAAAACCCCAAGCTGAACGTCCGTTTCCCTCCGAAGATCCGTCCGATTAGGCGCAAATTTCCGATGCTGGCACGTTGTCTATCCAAAGTTTGCTCGCTTCTCCTTCTGACTTAGTCATGGATCTAGCAGAGTAGGATGGCGGCGGCAGAGGCGTCGAAGCCTCTGCGTTCGGAAGTTGTCGATAAGCTCGCTGTGCACGAGTCCTTTTTCCATCTACATGATCAAATCCTCGTGGATTCTTCTTGTACTTTCGGGTCCCAACGTTTGGGCAAATTGCAGCACGAGATCTTAGCGGGTGCCGATCATCGAGGGTTTTCATTCTGTCTGAAAACCGTAGTCGGTTTCCCTCTAGAATAATGTTTGCGGGTGGGATTCCTCCTTCCCTGTGCAGGACTACATTAGGAGTAGCCCGCAGAACTGGAAGTGCAGATCGGAGACCCATCATGTTGGCCTTTTCTATCATAGTAGAGGCTCGCGGTAGCTGGCGTGGCTATTCCTGCTATTGTTGGGCGTTTGAGGCCTGGCCACCAGACTTCCGCACCAAAAGTCGCGATTGAAGCACTACAACTGTTTGCTGCTCGTATCAGCGCTCTTGGTGCGGCTCCTCGAAAAGTAGAATTGAAACGTCGCATAAGACGTGCGACTTTCATTGCTCTTCCAGACCAAAACATCACATGATGCTTGAAGTTAAGTCGCGGATCGAGGTGAACTCCAAGCCAGCGAATATGTTCGGCTGGTTCTATTAAAATGCCGTTTACACGGACGCCTACAGCTGCCTCGCGGTGCCGAGGTGGGAATTGTACTACCTCTGACTTTTCTGTGTCAAAATGGACTACATTCTCCTGCGCCCCATCCAGTAGGTGATCAACTTCCCTCTAAGCAGCGGCAGCAGACTCAGCAGTGGTGCGACCAAATCCAAGAATGCCGATGTCGTCAGCGTAGCTAAGCCTTAGATCGGTCGTACCGCTGCGCATTGGTTCTGCCATGTAGAGCAGGAAGAGAAGTGGAGAGATCGGCGACCCCTGCGGGACTCCGCAGACTAGTTGTCGCTCCGTCGTGACTCCTTCCAAGTGTCGTACTTGAACCATTCGCTGTGCAAGGAACGACGTCGTCCACTTTAAAACTGAGTCTGGCCATCCTTGTCCTTGCATTCTTCTCACTAGGCGGTTATGAAGAACTGCATCAAACGCACCTTGTACGTCTAAAGTGACGAAAGTAGCCGTCCATCCCTGAGTGCGCGCCTCCTCGACATCATGCACCACACAAGAGACTAGGTCTATTGCTGAACGTCTCGAGAGCGCGCCGAATTGTTGTCGACCAACCACATCACAAGTTACTGCTTGGTGAGCCATCCGTTGTGCCAGAAGCCTTTCTAGCCCTTTACCAAGTCAAGAAAGAAAGGCGATTGTTCTCCAACCTTTGACTGTCGTTGGGTCCTTTTTAGGCTTCTGTACAAGAACCACTTCGGCCAATTTGAAACAAGTCGGGTGAGTACCAAGTTGTATACAAGCTCTGAAGAGTTTGACTATGCATGGTCCAATTGTCTTCCAGCAGGCCACTAGCAGCTGTACGGAAACTCCGTCTGCTCCTGGGGCCATGTTTCCACAGCCGATGATACAAGCTCGGACTTCTTCTTCGGAGATTTCATCCTTCCATGGTATCCGATTATTGCTCGCGGCAGTGCATGGTGACAGGTCGTCCGATGTTTGGTGTCTTGCAAGGAGAGAGTCACGGAGAACTGTGGCTCGCTCTAGCGGATCAAAGATGAGAACTCCATTGTGGCTAAGAGGTGGAGGAATGCTTGACTTTCTAGGACTAGCCTTTCTCTTCAAGCTGAAAACATCGTTCGGCGTGGTCAATTTTTCGACTAGCTGAGCTTAATATTCCTTTTTAGCGGCTCTAAGAACTGATCGGAGCTTTTTGGCGTACACAGAACGTTGGGGGGATGTTGCTACCGCTTGGTATTCGGCCCTTGCAGCCTTGCACGCCGGGGTCCACCATGGTGCAGATTTACCGACGTTTGCTCTAGATGGAGTTCCTGTTGCACTGATGGCAGTCTTGAGGTGGGAGCAAAGTTCCTGGGCGTAGTCTTCGACCTTTTGAATCGTGTCTAGGAGTGGCGGCAAACGAACCAATTTAGCAACAGCTCGCGCAAAGTTTGGCAGTTTTTCCTTAGTCACTCGAATCTTGGCTAGCTTGGTTCTTAATACTGCAGACTGGACCGGAACTATTCCTCGGATGGGAAAATAGTCGCTGGTGACACATTCGTCACGGTCTACCCATGCACGGCTACCGTTAATGTTAGTCCAGGCAAGGTCCAAGGTGTTACCAGCTTTATGTGTAGGTTCTCCAATGATAAGGCAAGTTAGATGGTGTTCTTCCACCCATCTTTATAGCGGCTGCAAAGTCAGTATTTCCTGTAGTCAGTACTGGCAAGTACAGGCGTACGGCCACCAGGGATTAGGCAGGCGCAAAAGCTCCGTAGATGTCACAGTTCGAATAGAGAGAGCG